AGGTCATAACCTTTTTGCTGGTGGAGGGTTTGCCTTCAGTTTGTAAAATAATGCAACATCTGTGAAACACAATAATGTGAAGCATAATAAAATGAGGTTTGCCTGTACCACAAAATCATAGGGATATAAAACTGGCCTTGCTGCAAGAACAGATAAAAGACTAACAAATCAGAACAGAGATTCAGAGACATATCCATGTGCCTTGAAGGCATATACACAAAAATGATACTACAAATCAATGAGGAGATGTATACTTTAGTGGCTAGTGTGATGAAAATTGCCTTCATCTCTGGGAGGAAAAAAAGGCACCTGGAATCCTATCTAACACCAAATACAAAGGTAGACTTTAGACCAAGGGGCAAATTATGACCAGAATGCCAGATACCTGAAATGAAGAGATGTTCTAATTCATTTAATAATCAGAGAAATGCAAATTAACCAACAATGAGATATCACTTCATACCTCACTATGATTAGACATATATGTGTATGTTGCCAAATGATGATATTACATTACTATGTAATATCATCATTTGGCAACATACACATATATGTTGCCAAAAGTAACCTAGTTTCTTTCAATATTGGTATTAACTATCTATACTAACTAAAATGAAAAAAAAAATCACTATTCTAGAAATGAAATCTAAAAGTAGTAAAATATGAGAGAAATGTATCAATTAATGGCCCAGTACATGGATTCTTGCATACTGAAAGGAAATTAATTAGAAGAAAGATTCGTGCAATAATTGCATTACTGAAAGAAATTACATGTCAAAATAGTATATATAATATAGTATTATAAAATTAAAATATAAAATACTTTCATATGTATTGTACATGCACAAGTCAACATTTGTTTTTAAACTACCAGTGCATGTCATATGTACCGGCCAGTTGGTCGGTCGGATGGATGTATGCTCAGTCACTTAGCCTTTTATATATATAGAATATTTAGTATCTTGTTCAATACAGGTATCCAAGAATTGTTTGCTGCACTGAATATAAAACTGTGAACGCTCTGACACTCACAAATCACATTAGGAAAAGTTAGTTAAATATTCACATTAATTAACTAGTTTTCTTAATTCAAGTGTTTGCAGGCCAGAAAATAAGCCAGAATAAATTTAAATGTTTTCTTCCTAACATTTGTTTACTTAAAATTGTTTCAGACTTATATTTTTTAAGATTTTAACATATAACATTGCAGTTTCTAAATTCATTGGCTTATTATATTCTTGACTGAAGTAAAAGTAGGCAATAAATGTATTGAGGTGTATACCACTGAGATAAATTAAAGTAGAATGATATTTCTTTAAACATTTATGCCAATAAGCACACACACACATATTCAATACCCCTGAACAAGCTCTTCCTTCTCTCCTCAATTGCTATTTCATAATTCCCATGAGGACACATCAGAAACACTGGAATCCCTTTCATGCCTCTTTGCATGCCACCAAAGTAAATAGTAATTTATTGGAAGTTTTCCCTCTGCCATAGTCCTAACATTAACTCTTTCTTTTCCAATCCACTGCCACTCTAGCTAAGATTCACCCTCAAGTTCAAATTTTAGTTATTGCCTCTTAATTCCCCTTTTTTCCCTTTCTTTCTCTTTTCTTGCCCATCCTTTCTTTCTTCCTTTCCTCTGCTCTTTTTCACTCACTACATCATCCATTCATCCATTCATCCAACCAACCAGCATCTTTTTAGTATCTATTATGTCCCAGAGATACAGCAGTGAGGCAGACAGACAAGGTCCCCACTCTTTGAGTTTTCTCTTGATTCCTCATATATCTATCCTAATATGTAAAAATCCAGGGTCCATAACGACTGATGGAAGGCTCGACCAAACACCAGAAGTCAGTCCTGCAGGCAACCAGGCCAGTGGGAGGGCAGTTAGGGGTGATCAGGCTGGTGGGGGGGGGGGGGGGGTTGTTGCAGTTGGGGACAATCAGGCTGGCAAGGGGGACAGTGAGGGGCGACTAGTGTGGGGGAGATAGTTAGGTGCAACCAGGCTGGCAGAAAGGGTAACTAAGGGGCGACCAGGCCAGCAGGGGTGGCAGTAGGGGGTGACCAGGCAGGGGGGTGGGGCGGGGGGAGTTAGGGACAACCAGACCAGCAGGCAGATGAGCGATTAGGAGCCAGTGGTCAAGGATTGTGAAAGGGATGTCCAACAACAATTGGACATCCCCCAAGGGATCCCGGATTAGAGAGGGTTCAGGCTGGGCTGAGGGGACCCCCCATGCATGAATTTCATGCACTGGGCCTCTAGTATATATATAAAAGACTAAGTATCTGTCTGTCCAACCAGTAGCTATGATGTGCACTAACCACCAATAGGCAGATGCTCAACACAGGAGCTGCCATGAGGCACTCTGGCCATTTAAAAATAAATGGAACCACGGACCTGGCGCTGACAAGCCAACACTCGGTTTCCCCCAAGTGGGACACAGGCCCCACCACCACTACCTCAGAGCAGTACCCCATCAAATCGCAGCCAATGCTGCCAAACCCCCATGGCATAAAATGCGACCCACAGCCCAGCCCAGAAATGGTCACTATGGGTGCCAGGTAATGACATTACGTAGCAAAGCCCGGCTTCCCCTCCCTAGCAACTAGCATTCTTGGAGTTTCTTCTTTAGCCCAGGAACACGACTTCCTTCATAGCCCGGCACAAATATTTTACACTTTAACTGAATGTTTGTGAAGCATTTTCCCATGCTTCATCTCATTTGATCCTCACAGAAGTCCTAGAGTAGGTAGATAGGAGACTCAGAATTCTATTTTCTTTTCATTAGCAAGATATGAATAGCGATATTAAAATATTTCTAATTAATTTCCTTTCAATGTGCAAAAATCTGTGCACTGAGACCCTGGTATTCTATATTTAGCTATAAGACACATTTCCCCATTGAACTGCTTTGTCCCTTGCCGACTACACTCAAAAATATCTGTTTGTTTTCCACAGACTGCAGCACTTTATGGCTGGTCTTCCAAAATCCTCTAGGATTTGTCTCCATTTTATCTTTCAAGTTGAATCTCCTACTTCTTCACTATGCACATCCTATACTTCAGCTAAACCTGAGCACATACTTTAAACCTTGCCTATGGCAAAATGGATAAGGCACCTTATGATAAAGTTACTGGTTGAATACAGCAACAACAAAAACCTAATACAAGATAACATAAAAAATAAATAGTAAATAAAGGAAGGAAAAATAGGCTTCTCACCACTTCTCACAACTATTTTATGATTGTCTTAGTGCTACAAGACATACCCAGAGACATGGGACAGGGCTTTCTCTTGAGGCAGCATATGCCAGTCACTCTGGGAAAAGGTGATGTGGGACATAAAGGAGAGGCCTTATGCTATAGAAGAAAAGGACCTTCTCTTAATTCTGGGGCTAAGAACCAGCCAGAAAGGAAAAAGTCCTTTGTGGAGAGTCTCAAAACAGATAGAGTAGGAGCAGTGAGCTGCCCCAGACATTTGGAAGTAGACCAGAAGCAAAGGACAATGCAAGTCTCTGTTACTCAGTGTCACTGACAACAGCACAGAAAAGCAGCCGGTTTCTGGCAGGACCACATTAAGGAAGCCACAGTAGCACCCTCCAGTCTGAACAAGATGCATCGAAGTTCTGCCTCAACTAGCACAACAGAAACCAGAACTAACTCTTTGAAACCAAGGCTAGAGTTGGAGCCTAAAGACAGTGTTAACAGGAAAGGGTCAGCCATGGTCAGGTGGTTGAGCTGGTTAGAGAATCGGCCTGTACACTGAAAAGTGTCGGGATCCATTCCTGGTCAGGGCACATACCCAGGTTTCGGGTTCAATCTCCTGATCAGGGTGTGTATAGGAGGCAATCAATCAATGTTTCTTGGGTACACTGGTGTTTCTCCCCTCCCAACACCCCCCAATGTATCTCTTTCTCTCTCTCTCTCTCTCTCAATGCCTGCCCCTCCCTCCCTGTCTCCCTTCCTCCCTTCCATCCCTCCCTCCTTCTCTCCCTCTCTCCCTCCCTCCCTCCCTCCCTCCCTTCCTCTCTCCCTCCCTCCCTCCCTCTCTCCCTCTCTCTCTCCCTCTTTCCCTTCTTCCCTTTCCTTCTTCTTCTTCTCCTTCTCCTTTCCTCCTCTGAAAATATCAATAAGAGCATATTCTCGGATGAGAATTAAAACAAAAAAGAGGAGTGGGCAGAGAAAATGAACCTGAGACCATGCATGAAATACACAAGGCAGCACAGTAGAAAACTTGCAAATAGCTATAGGACACTCTAAAGTGGCCAATTTCTAATAGGCCAGGGATATTTGTGCCATAATTTGTGTATAAGAAGGAACTGTAATTTTATTTTGTAGTTATGGGAAGATGACATCAAGGACCTAAAGGCTATATTTTCACTGTTTTTTAAGGACAACCTCACTATCATATTTGTGTGCCTACCTTTCCCCCTTATGACAGTGAGCTCCTTTAACACAGAAATTACATCCACTGTAAGATACAATTTCCCATGAATTGCTTTGCCCTTTGCCAAGTTTTACAAGTTTTTGCATTTCCCACAAAACATAATGAGTCTTCACATAGAAGTAAAAAACAAAACAAAAAAAAACCTATTTCAATGAATAAGAGAACTGATCTTTACCCACTAGGTCAGTGGTCGACAAACTCATTAGTCAACAGAGCCAAATATCAACAGTACAACAATTGAAATTTCTTTTGAGAGCCAAATTTTTTAAACTTAAACTTCTTCTAATGCCACTTCTTCAAAACAGACTCGCCCAGGCCAGGGCATTTTGTGGAAGAGCTGCACTCAAGGGGAACAAAGAGCCGCATGTGGCTCACGAGCCACAGTTTGCCAACCACGGCTCTAAATGAGATGCAATTAGTGCTGAAAAAATATTCTATTGATACATGAAAGAATACATGTTGCAGGTACAATAAGAATAATGTTACCAAAACTATAAGTGCGTATAAAATTCTGTCCTTAAACAAAACAAAATCAACTTACTAGTGATCATTGCTCCAGTTACAGAAGCCAGAAATCCGATGCTGACTGCAATGACGGAGATCACTCTCCCCTGCCTATGCCTCTGCAGCATTACAAACATCAGCACTCCCGCAGCACCATGGACAAACAGAGAGGAGAAGAGAGCCCAGAGAAAGATCCAATACCACATCTCTGAAAGGAAAAGCAAAGTGTTAATAATTCTGTGGGAAAAAATATTAGAAAATTCAATTTAACAAATTGTGAGCACCCCTGGTTTGGGGAAGGTTGAGATAATAGGTACAAAAATGTCTAGTACAGTATCTGACACACAGTACTAAATAAATTTTAACAATTACCAACCTTGCTAATGCTTAATGGGAAAATAATTCCCTCCATGACTTCAGAAGGTTAAGGCTATACACTAATTTCCTCTAAATATTTCTATTATGTAGACAGAGTGCATCAATTTATCTAAGACACCCCTCATATATTTTCAAATCTCTTGAAGTTAATTGTATAATTTATTACTGTTTGATAAGTAATTTTCTATTTTCTACACTAAATAGCAGTGTTAAGACATTTAAAAATCTATTACTCAATTCAAATCATTCCAGAAATTAGTCAATGAATTTATCTTTTATGATTTTAAGAATTTCATGTGATTCTCACCTTGGCTCTCAACTTTATGTACACTATTAAAGAGTTAGAATTTTTTATTTTATTAAGAATTCTTTGCCTTATGTCATTTTAATAGTCTTTACCAAAAACTTACAACTCTATTATTCTTCAATATATCCTCAATTACTGTTCACTGATATTGAGTTTATAAAGAGTTAATGAGCATCCCTTTCATTTGGTCTCTCTAGCCTTCATTCCCTTTCTCTCTGACAACAGGCAGCCTCCCAGTTGATGCACACAGCTCCCACAGATATTGCTGGGCCCTCGCATTGGCTCTATTTCCTAACCATGTTTGTGGTCAGGCATATCAGAGCAGGCCATTGAGCCCAGCTACACCAGTCATTCCCGTCCCCTGGTAATCCTGTACTGGGACCAATTGAGCACGTAAGTCTTTGGAGGTTAAACCCAAAGGGTTCACGTTTTGTATAGAGCCATTTCATCATCTATATATATAAAATCCTAAGCGGCTATTCGACCGGTAGCTATGATGCGTACTGACCACCAGGGGGGCATATGCTCAACGCACGGGAATGGAAACATGATGAATCTCAGAGTGAAGGGGGAAAGGGAGAGGGTGGGAAGAGATTAATCAATCTGATATGCATACTAGAGGCCCAGTGCACAGATTCATGCACCAGTGGGGTCCCTCAACCTGGCCTGCAGGGATTGGACTGAACCCAGACCAGTGCACAGATTCTTGCACGGGTGGGATCCTTAGGCCTGGCCTGTGGGGATCGGGCCAAAATCAGCAGTCCAACATTCCCTGAGGGGCCCCAGATTGTGAGAGGGTACAGGCCAGGCCAAGGAACTCCACTAGTGTACAAATCCGTGCACCAGGTCTCTAGTCATGTGATAAAAGCCACCATACACAGTGAAAAAACAACAACATATCCATCAGAAACTAGAGACAACCAAGTTCCATTTTTAGTAATTTCTAACACACTGCCATATTCCATCCTTAGATTCAATTCATTTCCTTGCAATACTAGTAAAATCCTTCTTTTTTATTTAAATTAGTTCAGATAAGGTTTCTGTTACCTATAGTTAAAAGAGCTGACTCTAGAATGTTTAGATGTCACCTTGAGACTTATCCTTGGTATAGAAATGTTCCATATGCAAAATATTCCATCTATTCTTTGTGCTAGTATTCACTCTATCGAATATAAGTCAGAAAATAAAAATGGATGAATTGAAGCTTATTTAGTCCATACAATGGAATATTACTCGGCTTTAAAAAGGAAACAATCCTGTCATCTGCTCCAACATGGATGAATCTTGAGGATATTTTCAAAATAAAATAAGCTAGTTACAAGAACAAGTAATATTTGATTCCACTTATATAAGTTATCTATAGTAGTCAAATTCACAGAAACAGAAAATAGAATGGTGGCTGCCAGGGGAATGGGAAAGAGGAAAAAGGGGAGTTGTTACTTAATGGGTGCAGACAAAAACTATGTGATCTAGTGCACAATAATATGAATGTGCTTACTACAGAACTGCACGAATAAGATGATACCTTTTATATTATAATCTAGAGGCCTGGCACATAAACTCATGCATGGGTGGGGTCCCTCAGCCTGGCTGTTGATTGGGACTGATTTGGCGGGGGCGGGAAGAGGGAAGGGCGGCCGCTGAGTGAAGGACCATGGGAGGTTGATGGCCCGGGGGAGGGTTTGTGGGAGGTTGCCGGCTGCAGAAAGTTGGCTGTGGGAGTGCAATAACCTCCAGGGGGCAGCTCCTGCATTGAGTGTCTGCTCCCTGGTGGTCAGTGTTCATCATAGCAAAGAGTCAACCGGTTATTCAGTTTCTTAGGCTTTTATATATATAAATTAGAGGCCTGGTGTACAAAATTCATGCAAGGAGGAGGATCCCTCAGCCCAGCCTGCACCCTCTCCAATCCAGAACCCCTTAGGGGGATGTCCAACTGCCTGTTTAGGCCTGATTCCAACCGGCAGTTGGACATCCCTCTCACAATCTGGGATCGCTGGCTCCTAACCCTTGCCTGCCAGCCTGATGCCCCTAACTACTGCCCTGCTGGCCTGATCGCTCCTAACAACCTTTGCCTGATGACATGAACACCCCTAACTGCCTCTGCCTGCCAACCTGATTGCCCCTAACCACCTCTGCCTGCCAGCCTGATTGGCCCTAACTGTCTCTGCCTACTGGCCTGATTGCTCCCTAACTGCTCCCCTGCCAGCCTGATCGCCCCTAACTGCCCTCCCCTGCTGGCCTGATCACCCCCTAACTGCCCTCCCCTGCCGGTCTGATTGCCCCCTAACTGCCCTCCCTTGCTGGTCTGACCATTCCCTAACTGCTCCCCCCTGACAGTTTAATCACCCCCTAACTGCTCTCCCCTGCTGGCCTGATTGCTCATAACCACCTCTGCCTCAGCCCCACAGTGACTTTGCCTGAAAGGATGTCCAGAAGATGTCCGGTCTAATTAGCATATTACCCTTTTATTAGTATATATATATATATATTTTTTTTTTTTACCACACAAATAAGTAAAAATTTTAAAACTTTTGGGTGGAAATTTAAAAGATAATTATTTTAAGTCAAGACTATAAATGAATAGGCATTTAAAAACCAAACAAAAATCTCTCTGGAGAAAGGAAGCAGATTATAAAGGGGTAACACTAGGGGTTTTTGTGGCAATAAAACTGTTTTGTATTTTGACTATGATGATGAGTATATATAAAAGTGATAAACTGTAGGCAACTAAATACATACATACACACACGAGTACAAGTATACAGTACCAGTGAAGTCCGAAGGTTTGTGGATTGCATTAATATTATACTGTGCTTTTCCAAGAGATTTCCATTAGGTAAAGAGCACAGGGGCTCACCCTGTTTTATTCCTTACAACTGCATGTAAGTCTATAATTATCTCAAAATAAAAAGATATTTTTTTTTAAATAAAAAAGGGGAAGATAGATTCCAAATTCTAAAAAATTGATCCTTAGAATGGACTCAAATCATTCGAAATCATTTCACTGGAGACATCTGATATATTTTCCAGTGTACTTTAAAATACCATGCATGCTTCTCAATGGCATGGAGATAGATACTGGTGATAAAGGAAAAATAGACACAGCTTTCCTTTTAAAGGGTTTTCTCTCTTCTAGTTTTCAGGGAAATAGTCCTTTCATGCTATCACACTCAAACCAATGGCTTCAACTTATAATAAATGAATTAAAGACAAAAATGCTTAACCTGCTCATAAGATAAAATTTATATTTAAAAAGATAATGTTTCCAAAGTGAACTAAATAAAGTAAAAATGTAAGGGAGTACTAATGCACTGTAGAGAGTGCACTAAGACAAGAAAGGGCTCTCAACAGAAAACATAATCCTAATAAGTCACAAAGTGCTTATATCCTAAGACCACTTCTGCTTATCAGATGTATTTCCCCTAAAGCACTTTTCTTTGTTGTCCTTCTAATACAAGTAGATTAAAATTTCTTGACTGCATTTAACAAACACCAAGAGTGCGGGATTATTTGACACTATAAAATATTGACATCAACGATAAATTTACCTAATAATTAGGAAAAGTAAATTTTAAAATTAATGTTTTAACAAATCCCAAGTTATAAAAGAATTATATAACTAAAAAGGAATCTTAAATGGTCCTCTAATGACCAGTCCAGGATTATCCCTTAAACTGACTGAGAACAAAGTACCTAAACTCAAATTTTCTTTTATGTTTCGCTCGCTTTAAAATATATATATATGGCCGAAACCGGTTTGGCTCAGCGGTAGAGCGTCGGTCTATGGACTGAAAGGTCCCAGGTTCGATTCCGGTCAAGGGCATGTACATTGGTTGCGGGCACATCCCCGGTAGGGGGTGTGCGAGAGGCAGCTGGTCAATGGTTCTCTCTCATCGACGTTTCTAGCTCTCTATCCCTCTCCCTTCCTCTCTGTAAGAAAAATCAATAAAATACATTAAAATATATATATATATATATATATATATATATATATATATATATATATATGATATATCATGAAAAAAACAAAAACCTCCACTGAAAATATCTACAACTAACTTAGGTATTATGTTACTACTATTATTTTGAATTACCTGATAGATTAATACAACCCTGTCACTGAGCATAGCCTCTAAAGATCTTGATCTGTTCTGGGTAAACAAGCCTAAGTTTCTATTCACCACTGGCAAACCCAGAAAACCTACTGGGTTAGTCCAGATGAAGAGAAGTGAAGGATCCTAAGAGTAGAGCAAGAAGAGTTGTCCAAAAACCTGAGGAAGAACAGGTACTAAGAGGACAGGAGTAGAACATCACATTTTTTATTTTTTGCTTTAACTGTCTAGGTCGTACAGCTAACTTGAACACTAAGAATCCCAGTTTCTCCTTTCCATCCATAATTCATCTGATCCAACTTTCTAGCAATTAAGCAATAGTGAAGGAAGGAAGCCAGAGGGAGCCTTTGCTAGTGCTAGACAAATACAAAAATTTAAAGTACAATGCACAACACAGAAACTTAGAAGCAT